GTTTATTAGTTTGGCGTTTGTGCATCTGCTTACGAATTAAATAAACAACCCCAATGCAACTGAAAATGACGGTTCAAACTCAAACTTCTGGATAATATAAATTACACTTTTAAATGTTTTAAAAATACCACATTTAGTCACAAGGCTTCCCCCTACGATTCATAGATTCCGTTAATGGGTCGCTTAAAAGTGTAATATTATTCACGTGTAACGTTTTACAAACGGAACAACCTCTTATCATTCATAAAAGCAGCAGTTACAAACATTTCACTGAACATTAAATCAGGCACCCGCCACACTACAGGCGCGACTATCACTAGATTTGTGAAACTTTACGACGTCGCATCACTTTCACGAGCTGTAGATGTGTTTAACGAGCGCGAGGTCGCGTCTCGTGCCGTGTGAACCCAGCTTTATTGCCAAACTTGCGATTATGAGTCGTAAGTGAATTTAAATAGAGTATCGTAGAGATAAGGTTACAACACTGCCACCTCAATACACGAGGACAATCTTGTACCTACTTACGTAGTAAGATATAGCATAGAATCGGCATAACTTGGTCTGCTGCTCGTTATCATCTAATTCATATTCAACTACTCATTACTCCACAGAGTTGTTTTGCATTTTTTTACATCAAGCTATACTATGCAGCTAATATTGTGAAGAGAGAATGTCGGTGTTTACGTTACGCAACATACGTTGGATGAAGACTGAAGTATAAAATATCAATGGTCTTAAGCTAAAACATTACAAATAGGTGATTTGGACCGATTAGAGGATTTGTAAATTCCAAGCGACCACAACCGCTGGTGTTTGCGAGTGTGACAAAAAGACGTGTTCCACAGACCCTCTGCTTCGTAACGCGTAGCGCGAGATCTTAGCTCGTAGCCCGTAGCAATCGGTGCTACGACTTAGATAAATGCCAAAGTATGAGACCGCGGCGCGCCGCTACAACTTCGCTATTGTGACACTAGTTAGGAAGTAACAGGTTGTGTGACGCGATATCGGCGTAACTAATAAAGTTGTAAAGCAGCTAACTTAACTTACAGTTAGTCTTTCAATATCCTTACATGTATTAGTGACGATTGTGAGCAGCTCGTGTCTCAGTTGACGAGGTGGATCATCAAGTTACATTTTACGTGGCTCGTCGTCGAATCATAAGACGAAAGCACTTCTTTTTATTGTCAAGTAAAACTCGGAGATGCTCGTTTACCTAATTTTATTTCGGGGCTCGCAGTAAAAGTGGTAGCTTGATTGACACGTTACGACCTGTCCCCGGTCCCCTTCTGGGGAGTCCTGTTGCCACCTCCGCAAGGGAGGACTCCGCACAATAATGGTCTTTTATTTCAAAGAAATGGGTAATGAAATATTCTTGTAAAAGTAACATATTGTGAAGATCTTTTACTTATTTAACGGTTCTTTGTAATAGGCCTTGCATAATGTCAAGAATAAAATATAAATCTAATCTGAAAGGCATAATTACGACAACATAAAGGCTATGAACACCATCTATATAGCTCCGCAAGACCCCTAAGTATTACCACAACCATAAATGGAATAGTTACCGTGTCATAAACAATAGTACGTGTGAGGGCCCGAGCCTCACACCGACCGCAGAGTACGCGATGAGTGGCGCGGTAACGTCAGGCGTCGCGTGTCGAGGTGACGTAAATATGAAATGCAAAGGGATGCAAGCGGACAGCAGCGCCGGCTCTTGTTTAATAATACACAGGATCCACTGGAGACTGCGTGTGCCGACTGATGTATGTTCTCACGTAATGAAAAACTTTCGAGTAAAAGTTAAAATAATTTATTACAACTAAACCATAAATAGGTACTTTTAAGAAGAAGAAGCTGTTGCTCATCCCGAAGTTTTGATTAGGATAGAGAAAAACGAGCAAAAATTCCATCTCATCTCATCATCTCACCAATACATAATTAAATACACATTATAGTAGCTATATGTGAGAAAAATTCAGAAAAGAAGTTATTAAAAAAGAAGAACAGACGATGATTTGAATCTTTTATCTTCTAGAATATGGCGTTAATATTATGCATACTGGCAATCCAAAAATGCATCATTATTACTTTATGCACAAATAATTTAAAAAATCGAAGAATATGGGTAACTACTAACTTTACCTAAATATTGTCCAGTGGAGCCGAACCAACACGCAACCAGGCATTCTCATCCTCAATGTAATTCAAACTGCCATATGGCAGCTTGAATTATGTGTGTCTCCAAAATCGCGTTTAATTAATTTTTCTTTCATTACGTTTTTATAATTCTACCACAACAATTGAGATTCAAAGCTTCGTTAATGAGAGTCATAATATAGTATAATATACAGTTTACATGAAAATGTTTAAATGTAACAACAATGCGTCACGTTGATATCAGTCGGCGGTAGGCTGCCCAAATTCCTTGGTTGAAGTAAATCTATTATTTTTTAAATGTTTTATAAACAATCTGAAAGACCTCTTTGATGTAGTATGGAGCCGCAATTTAATCGGTCGTCGTGCGTCGCTCCACAAATTGATCATCCTCAATGTATTGTAGTCACGCGCGCCGCACTTTATACACACATACATTGTTTCTAGCGGAAATTACTCGCGCGCAGGGAGAATCGGTGAGCGCCACTTGTATCAAAATCACATCAACCTATCTAGTATATCTACAAAATGTGACAAAAACTCGCTCGACAAATGTTTCTGCCGGTGTTAGTGTATTTCGTCGCAGGTATTTTATGAATTATTACTACGGCATATGTAAATGTACAGTACTCGATGCTAGATAATAACTCCGTACCAGCCCATGAGTACGTGGCAACGTTTACAAGAGGAAGTATGAAATAATTGTAACAATTGAGCCGATGGTGTGCCGGAGGTGGCGCAGCGCTGCGCAGCAAATAAACTCGAGAGCTTACTTTTATGATGTTTGTGTAAATAAAAGCTCTTACTTGTGACTGTAACGAGACGAGTGACGGAGTAAAACGATTTATCGTCAACTTTACTACATTACTTATTTGTATTACCTTATTCTAAAGATATACGATTACAATTTCGGGAGGTACTTGCTCTACCTTCCTGCTATTTTAATTCTCAATAAATGTTCATTTGACGAAAATAAAGTCAACTTGTTTACGATAATTCACAATGCTACTGAATACTGGCGTGATTTAGTTGTTCGGTTTTATGTTTTGACGTCGAATATTTATTTCCTACAGCAGGATGAGTAGTACAAGAGATTAGTAGTAGAAGGTCAATCATCTACGGTCAGTGCTTAGTTTCGGCCGGATGCTGCATGCTGGGTGTCGCAATTGTAGCTCCACGGAGCGCCCTAACGCCTGTCTCACTTTCCGCAGTACCGGTCTGCTGCCCATTCCGTCGGAATACACTTGATGTTACTTCCACTTCATTCCACAAACTCTTAAATGCTTCACAAATATCAAAATTATTCTCGTGAATTAATTAAACACAGCAACTTGTGTTCACACAACACACACGCCGCTACATGACAACGCGGGTACTGGTCACACTGGAACAATCGCTTGCTAACACAAAACTCAATTTACTCGTGAACACCATCCGTGTGTCTACTCGCATGACGTTTCACTGAACACGGCCAGCTCAATACCCAGGCATGTCTTATTAAATGTTTCCAATATGTGTTTGTGTTTGAGTTTGTGATGCGGTTATGTGGAAATAAAAGCCGGTAATATTTGGATACAGGCGGCGTGCAGCGCGACAGCCCGTATACCTCGTGTGATGTGCTGTATGTGTGGTCCACTATTTACATTAACTTATTAAATAAGAGTTGCGGTTTGAAAAATAGATGCCACCGCAGATTTTCAATCGAACAAGAAGTATATTTAAGTTGTGACTAAAAAGACTATACTTACTCAATATTATTAAAACAAATTGTCCATCAATGTATTCTAGATACAGCAGTCAAAAACTAATGCATAGAAAAATAAACTGCGTAATATAGACGAGCAAAGATAAACCATGAGAAACGAGACTGCTAAGAAATCGAAATGTTGTGTACAAAGTAATAAGCAACAAAAATATTTGCTTTGATTTATTTCCGCAAACAGTCCAAAGCATTCCCAATGAGCCGCCCCGCCCGGGCGCCGGCGCTGGCGAGTGCCAGGTAATGGCTCTCCTGCAGCTTCTTTTGTCGGCCACTCGGAGTTTTCAAATGAATGTGTCAATTGAAGAGAAAATTCTATCGTTTCAGTAACAATGCTCGTTTTTTTTTAAATTAGATTTTATTTGTAAAATGACCAGTCGTAGCCTGTGCCGCCAGTCACCGTCTCTTTCATATTAGACTTTATATGAAAAGCATAGTAATACAATGCTTCAACGCCTGTGTACGCATTTATCTACAGCAATGAACATTGCTGTAGATAAATTCCTTCTTCCTTCTGTATAATTACGCAAAAAAATTCTTCTCATTTTATAAAAAGAATACAACAGCGATGTAACTGTATTGGCAATTTTTGACACCTAATACCATGTTGAAAAAGCCGCTAAAACGATTATAGGGAAAAGATTTTGGTAAAAATTGCTGCCCATTTTTTGCCAAAAGTCGAGTTCAGCTCATTCCACTCCGGCACAATGAGATAATAATAACGGCCTCCGCCGGAACTTTTGTTTAACTTGTATTTGTACGGAGGAATTCGTGTACTACAGCATTGATAACGAGAGGCTGCGGCCGCCCGCGGACACACGGCGCCTGGCGGAGTGCACCGTGTGATCTTACTATCTAATTCATTTACCTTCTAATGCGATACATCTATATGAGGTATTGAGATGTTTCTTTGGTAGGTACAGCACTTTAGTTTTGGAAGAACTTTCTCAATTATGTGTGTTAACTTACAAGTACTTTGTTTTACTACTGAAACTCTGCGGTATAAAATTAGGAAATAGTCATAAGAAACATTAGATTTAACCTCAAAAGATGTATTTCATAATGAGCGTTGTGTAATTGTCAGCAGAAGGGCAAGCAGATGGCACCGGCGGTCCCGGCGGGGTCGAAGACGACGAGGAGGAGGACACGGGGTGGTGGGGCAACTGCGTCAGCAACTGCCCGCCGCCCGTGCAGGACCTCTGCACTTCTAACCGATTTGACAACTTGCACGTAAGTAGACCTAACACCTATGTACCTACACACAGGCACATGAAGCTCCCTCGTGCGTATCGAGCACTGCAGCGTGTAGTAGTGAACCCACTGCTACACATGTGCCGGTAAACACCGCGCTAATCACATATACCTCGTAATTATGCTCCGGATTCTAGTTTAATGAATGCGAACAGGAACGGTTCACGCGTTGACATTGATCTCATTGTAACACTGATTTCCATACTAGCTTGTGACGGCACACAGCTTCCGTGGGCACATCATTTCAAATTATGTCGTAATTTTATTCGCAATAAAAGCGGTAAAGTATAAAATGTTGAATATTTTCTGTATGATGATCCAGTTTACGAGCCGTGTTTTCATCAGCGTAATACTTTCAATCCATCAACGTATGGCGATGAGCAGAAGTAACGTAAACAAATATAAATGTATAATCCGGCACAGACACGCGGACACCGCCGGAACATGTACCTACACGTTCACTACACGCTGTACTCTGTGGGACTTCATTGTTGCTTGCATGCTGCAATGACGCGCAGGAAACAACGCCAACTCAGACGCTGTGTTATCCAAATCCCGTGCAGGATGCTGTATATACTGTCTGCTGACCTCTCTCGAGTTCACAGAACATGCCTTTATTATGGTAGTGTGTATGTAGCAATAGAGGTTTCATTCTACAAGTAGTTCAGATATATATATATAGTTGTATATTCTGACGGTGTCGTGACTCATTTACCGACAGTCTTATTGCTTTTACGAATTCTCTCCTTTCATACAAGCTTGTATTAGTGTTGACGCTTAATACCAATGTATATAAATCGCAAATACCTTCGTCAATATCGGTATCCAGCTAGATGAGTAGATCTGTCATTGGCTGTAAACTATTCACTAACAAATGATATACACAATGAAACGACGCATCGTCGCGCGCCACTCCAACTATCAAGCAGCACTCCCAATTTAACACTAGAACAACAATGTTAATGGTTGCGAGAGCTTCGCGGACGATAAATTTCTTTTGGAGGCCTCGGCGGTTGACTGGCCGCGTAAATATTTATTTCAAATAAAATCGAGACCACTTGTTGCCTGCGACTATTGCTGTGTCTGCTGCCGGTAGGGTCACGCGAGGTCTACGCAGGGTCCACGCCGGGTCCACGCTCGCCGCCCCGTCCCGTGCCTCGTGCTGTGGGCCAATGTGCTATGATTAATGTACCTGGTGAGATGCGCTGTCCAGACGCTCGAGCGTTCTCTAAATATATTCGCGTAATTTGACTAATATATCATGGAGTAACATTAGCATGTGTAAACATTGCGATTTTATTTTTATTTTATGAGATTTTGCTAAAATATAGGGAAATCGTTTAACATTTATTGCAACTGTAATAATCAACTGAGTCGTAATCAATAGCGGTAGTCCTCGCCACGACCAATCCGTTATTACTTTTCATTTAAAATTTATATTCTGCTAAATATTGTAAAAATTTCTACGTAGACGCGGACAAATGAAGAAATCGTTCTCAGCTCGGGCTATAAACCTCGCAATAATGTGGAAAAGTGCGCGCCGCGGACCGCGGTATCGAGCGTATCTTTTACGGCGCCAGTAAATCACGCTCAGGTGGGTCGCACCACGCGCACACTAGTCACTGGTCACGTCGCCTTCACGACACCGCGACCTCACCACTGCATGAGGAATGAGGACCGCCATGACGGAGTATTCGCAGACACCTTTTTCTTCACAATATTGGGCATAACAAATAAGTTACGTAACGACATGCCCTCAACAACAACGACACCTGAATAAGTATGGATCAATCTGTACAAACTGTTCCTGAAACTTCACCCACCACTTGCTATAAATCTTAAAGTATTACTTCTGTTTTTACGGATACTATTTATAGGATACAATGCGTGGGCTGTGACAAACGAGATCGACTCCGGTGCACTAAACTCTTGTTACATTTTGATACGAGTACTAAACACGTTGTAATGTGATTGTTTATGAGAGTTGGAAACTTATATGTTGACCGATAATATGGTTTGGATGACATGGCACAGGACAATTAATACAACGTTGGAGCGTTTTAATTAACAGAAAAGGAATAATGTGTGTGCTCGTGGCGCCACCTTGCGGCCTCTCCGGCGACAATTAAACGGGAATCAATTGTGAGGCGCAATGTATCAGGTGTCGGAGGACTAATGAATCCGACGAGCCTTCGTTTGTCACCCGAGAGGAATCTCACGCCGCGGTAATTGCACGCACGCGACATTCACACACACACACCGCTTTGGACCAATTGATATTTATGCTTACCTGCGGTTCCAGTACCCTATGTTTGTGACTAAATACAAATGCAATTATAATCTTAGCTTTCCACAAAAAAGTAAAATGACTTAATATTTTATCTTGAATATGTATATCCATGTATAATCCTCCTATACAAGTACACTCGTATAATACGTAGGTAGATGCGATGGGAAGTCCTCAGCCGGGCCGCGGCCGTAAGCTTTTAATGAAAAATGTTTTGTTGACGCTGGCAATTGTTTGCAACCGACTTCCAGACAAACAAGCACAGGTATTGAACAGATGATCACATCACCTGAAGCCATCCATTACGTGTAGCGTCACTTAAAATGACATAAATTAATAAATCCATCATATATTAACAAAACTAGTTAACCTGCCTTCCATCTACTACGACACATTCAACAATGTAACCTATAGTGATCCTTGGTAATGCAGGTGCAGTCAGATGTACTGCACAGTGCCGACTCTCACTAGTTCGCTAAACGTCAGTTATCGTGACTGCGATCGAGAACTTGTAGTCACTCACTACAAATTCCACGCATTAAATTAGCTCCTCCCCCTCCCCCTCCCCGCTCCCCGCGCACCGCCCGACTTACTCCGAGGCAGCTGCCGGCGCTTCGCTCTTTGTCGTATCTACTAATCTGTCAGCTTACATCGAAAGACGACGAGCTCCACGTCACTTAAACAGTCACTCAAGACTTGCTGGCGACTGAAACATATAGTAACGATGCTGTTTAAGTTACGACTCGGACACTTACTCCCAAGGAAACGAAAAGAAATAAAAATAGGTAACCGACTCAGTTCGTGTGTATTGTCGAACGGAACGAATTGGGTCATGGTGTCAGAAAGCGGCGGTCTTACAATCCTCACCATGTTCCGAGGCCGGGACTTTACAAAACACAAACAATGACGTTTGGAATTACAACAACGCAATGTAGCGGAGCGTTGGAGAACAATCGATTTGATTGAATCATTTGTTTGGGCGTCCACTGAAGCCTCCACCAACACGGAAATTGTTTATTAGTCGAGATATAAGGAATAGCACGCCATAACACGAGAGGGCGAGGCGCAGCGATATCCAGTACAGCAAGAGAGATGCGCGGTGTGCCGGTGTTGAGGCTTACGTTTGGCAAGCCGCATGGCGACGCGACCAGAATATGATGCTGCTGCCGCTTTGTGCATTTACTTCGGTAAACCGCGCACCACAACCTCGCCGCTACGAGAGACTTTAGGAACGAAATATTAAATATGACAAAATATGTTACACATTTTGGGAGCGATTTCAGTCATGCACGGCTTTATTTAAATCTTAGCTAGCCTTAAAGCTCGTCATACGAATGTTGACTACATCAAACGTTTAGAAAGATTTGAGTTATGGAGGAACACGCCGCTGGTAAAACCAAAAACTCATTCCTACGATGTCGTCTTGTTATCACATTGGAAGAACGTGCGTGTGTGGTGTGCGTGTCATACTCTCACCAGTTCTTTATTGTTAGAGGACTTTAGTTGATCACTCGGAAGTCTAATTTCTGAGAAGGACTGCGGTTTCGTTTCTTCAAATTGCTTAAATATAATTCTGACTTTATTATAAAAACAACAAAACTGGAGTCATGGCCGAAGTAAAATGACAAGTTTAAACAACACAAGGAAAGGAAGTCTTAACTTATGAACGTACATATAAAAGGAAATACATGAAGTACACTAAAATGATAAATCATAGGTGGTAGCCGAGAAATACGGCGTTTCTAAAGACGACAACGTTAGTTATTGTAAATTAAAACAATTATTAGTGCACTTAAAGTTAACACGAAGCATCTGTTGTCATTCCACTGCATTCACATGTGTGCTACGCGGCTACGTCGCTACGTGGCTACATGGCTACGCGGCTACATGGCTACAAGGCTATAGTTATCCTGATGGTGATGGTAACAATAATATACCCCTTCGAAGGCTAAATGATTTCACGTTTATATTAACATCGTGACGGATATTATTATAGAATCCCTACAACCGGTCGCTTCGTTTAACTTTATAATTTCGTTAGTGATAACTCCGACTGTAAAGCCGATCAATGTTTAAAGTTTGTAATCTCCGTTTTACTTAGTGTTAATCGCCCTTTGTTTCCAAGTTATTACAACACGGCGCGGCATCGGCGCGAGACGACACGTAATCTAGTCCTGAGACACAATATTTGTTAGAGAATGCCACAACACATTAAGTCCGCTAATCATAATTAATTGTATGATGAATATTAATATAAAATAAAAGACACTGTTCTGAAGAAGTTCTTCAAATCTTATATGTACATATACACTCAATATTCAATCCACTGGATTTACTACAAATAAGAAAGGTGAATTATCGTAACGAGTAACCCATGCCATGTATGACTTGTGTGTATCTCTGCAGACTTTATATATATTTTCAAAGATGATCAATTATAGTCCGAATTTTAATTCGATTCCTGATTTGACATGACCTATTGTCATTTTGTGAAATAATGATACCACATATAACAGTGTAGTGATGAACACAAAAATCTATAAACAATCAGTGAATCAGTTTCAGGAAGGCATTCAAAAAATTACGGCTACCGAATGGTCTAAATGCGTATCCCATGTTGTCAAATAGGGGAAAAAATGAGTAAGCTAGATATGTTCATTGACAATAAAAATCACAGACACAATTTATAATA